TGAATAAATTGATTTGCCCAGAAACTAGAATGGTTTATTTTTGCAGCAGTGTATTTTTGAAAGATAACCAATGGGTTATTTTATGTGAGTTCACATACCGGAACGGAGGGTCAAAGGTGATGTTTTTAAAAGACAAATTTATAGGCGTTACAGGTCATTGTACAAAATATAAGAATTAATGAACAATGCAAATAGTAGCAAAGACTGATTACAAATAGGTATATTTTAACTATCTCCATGTAGCTTTCCCCTTGCAGTGTCCGGAGGGAACAGTAGTATGCAAAACAAATAGGGGAGAATAATAAAACATGCACTCAAAAACAAAAGCGAAATAATAGAACATTAGTTTCAAAAATGTCTGCTTTCGAAAATAACGTTGAGGATGCAGGTGATCAATATTAACAACAAGCAGAGGAAAAAGTTTGTTCTATATCTGATATAGTACAGCGTTACGTGAGGGCTGAATGCATTATATGTATGTGATATGAGTATGTATAAAGGAAAACATGGAAATTGTAAAGACGCGGACAAAAATGAAACTGTAATCATGCGACTATGAGCCAATTAATTAATGTAGAAAAGTTAACGTGCACTTATGTTGTGACCATCTAGATGATAAAATAACGTGTTCGTATGAGAGACCCGAAATAGTGTACATACAGTGATAGTGTGTTTATCTTTTATGAATGTGACATTGGAATAACTCATGAAAATAAGTAGGATTGAATATAGCAGAAGTTGGCCCGTGGTGCCTACAGGATATAAGGACGAAGAATAGTTGAGTATGAAGAAGTTCTACTACGATTCAGTAAAGTAAATAGCGTCGATAAGCGAATAAGAGCTTGGTATTTGCATGGAATAGTTTAGCGTTTTAGGATTAGACTAACGAAGCCGGATGATATTCATTAATGCACTTTAATTAACAGTAACCATAAAATGCGAATTCAGTTCACAGCGTCGTTTGCGTTATGATTATATGAATGGAGTTATCGTTATATATGTATTAGTAGAATGACTAGAAGAACAGAAAAGTGATTGAAGAGACTAGATATGTGGAGAGTCGTATTCCTTTTTGATTGGGAAGCGTAATGTGGTTTGTGTGCTTTGAATGATATGCACTCAACCACGTTTATTACAAAATCGTACTAAGGTATGTTAGAAATACCAATACATATGGTTATTCATGATAGACGAGTTGAAGATGCCACAAGTATTTGGTGTTTGACAACGTTTTAACCAGTAACACCTAATGTGAATCGTACCCACCAAGTGGAATCAAAAGACAGAAGCGAGGAGGTTCGAAGATATATTTGATAGACTATCAATATATCGAGGATCGAGTGATCTAGACTGGCTAGCGATTGCAAGGAATGTTGAGCACGTCGTTCTCACTCACGATCTGGTACGGATGCATGACCGAGCGCCTTCAGCTAGGTGAGTCCATTAAAACTAATGTGGTCAGCATCCGATGTCGAAAACTTACAGAACTATTTATTTTGGAAATGTATTTACCGCTACAGATTCAAATTAATTAAATATGACAAACTAGAGTGTACCACTGAGAGTCCGGCTCTAAACTTTACGTTATAATATACAGCGCGACAGGAATGGAAACTTAATTGCACTAAGTAATGTTGATGGGTAATGAACACTGTAGGATTCAGTTATATATATGAACAAATAGATAAGATGAACACAACCGTTACCCATTAACTAGTAGAGTTGAAAAATCCACAGACATAGGAAACAATACTGAAACGGGAAATCTGTGGTATGATAACAAAAACGACTCCAACTATATAAACGTGTGTAGTAATAAGGCAAAAATGGCACGAAAAAAATCGGATGAACCCACTTGAAGCAAGAAAATTTTTAATACTGTTGAATAGCGAAAAAATAGTCAGGTGAGGTTGAAATGTTGTAACGTGAATGAAGTGTTAGTAAAATTATAAATTCATAAGTGGGTTATCTAACTGAGTAAACGTCATAACTCAAAATCAACACGAACTTCAATGATTATTCTAGGTTAAGCGATAATATTAACGCTAATGTGATCATGGGGATATAACAATGCATATGATCATAATGGAACGATCCGCCAGGTGGATCGATGAGATGAGTTGGCAGGAGGACGAAGTACGGATAAGATATTACGAATTTAGCATATCCATGTCCCTGTTGTACCGGCCTCTCTGAGTGCGTCGGATTAGATTAAGTCGTTTAGCCGGCTCGTCGATTAAGTCGGACACTTAGTTCGATTGTCGAATGCGTAGAGTTCGAAATGATTACCGTGTATTAGTATTACAGGTTACGTTTACCACGACATCGGGCTCAATGATTTTAGTGAAGTTATAATATTAGTGTGGGGTCATTGAAATGTCACTGGGCCCTAGCCATATCAAGCGGCGGTCAGGTCACTAAATGTCGAACAGTCCATCGATCCTCGTCAAGGTCAAGTACAAACAACGCGCAGCAGTTAATCGCACATCACGGACAGGCCCAAGCGGCGGCGTTCGCACTATCTTCTCTATGCCCGTTCTTATTAGTATATTTCTGTAATAACGTCGTCTGTGTTATAATGTCACCAAACCAGCCATAGTACCTTGATTCGACGAAGGGGTAATCCATGTTTGGTGCTGATCACGGAGTGTGACTTCGAAGTAAGTTGGTTCGTCATAATCACTCGCGTCTAACTGGAGTAGGCTCCCAATCATTCAAAACAGATTATCTAAGTTGATGATCCACACTGGTGAGCAAATAAATAGTCGTATGTAATATGTCAGTTAACATATCAACCACTCGTAAGTACAGTCACAAGGCAACGCGAACACACATCTGTTTGTAACTTATCCACTTGTATAAGCAAGACAACATTAATAGTTGATTGTAAATTCATCTTTTTACTTAATTATTAATAACTATCGTCCGAAACTATCCACTAGAATGTCCTACCTATTTGACGACTACCTGCCTAATTTCGAATTGCTGAGTACCATGGTTAAACAGTGGATACGAATGCCAGAAATTTGAATACTTGTCAATCTTAAAAATCTTATCAAATATTTCAGTCGTAAGTTCATACACCTTTAAGACCCGTCGGGTCAGCAAACAATATAATCTTGGTTCTATTAGCAATCATTGGATGCTGAGTGGCTTGAAACTAGTTTTTAGTGCTAAAAATACTTGACACAAAAAGTGAATGGGATCGACAGATACGACAGTCCTGTCACACCTGTGTACAATTCAGTTCATTTTGCACTGCACGTTCATTGGACCTATGAGAAGATAACAAGGACCACATCTACCTCCACGGTACTTTATATCCCTTTCTGTTACCGTAGTAAAGATATCCTAAACGAATATGAAGGCGAAATCTCACTCGACCACAATACTAATGAAAAGAAATATTGTATAGATGCTCTCACTCAACAACGTAAGTATAGAGGATGATTTCATCAGGACCTATGACATGTTAAGTGATCTGGATCTTCTCTGTCAAGTGATTCTACAGAAGGGCTAGAATAACTATTCGTGTCCAGTTCCATGTTCTAGGCTAAAGGTTTGGGAAGTTATATGCAATCTGGGATCATTGCAGATTCATTAACGATTGACCTCTTGTTGGACTGAGATGTAATCATAATTGATTGGTCACTGGGTAGTGATCAATGTCATGTGTGTCAAGCCATTCCTAGTGCGGATGGAATGCTATCAACCAAGTTGCAATGTGGCCACTAGCCTAGGTGACTCGACATTGCGGGCACTATGTTGAGATTAGATGATGGTTGGAGGACCCGGTTTTCGTGCTACCTGGCACTCGTCATCAAGGTGTACCTGTAATCAGCTGTAATTAACTCAGCATCTTTTAGAATAGATTAGATATCTGCCCACACATCCGTATACTGCCCTCCTCCAGTCGGAGTGTTAGCTGAATATGCAAAATAAACCGATATAAATTTCTAGCTTTCTCCTCTTGAGTTACGAACAGAGTCTTCTGTTTGCCTTTGTTTTTTCTACATCAATAAATGTCCCGTCTGGTTAACTTTTAAAAAAATATATTCAATCACCAGATTGCTCCTCAACTTTTGAAACGAACCCCCTAATCAGTCTTCAAAATGAAAACAACTAGCATATAGCACTTAAATATGCAGGGATTTTTTATGATCAGTAGAGTCAATCAGACATTCCTACAAACCCTGAATCGTGGATTAACATCTAGATAAGTGTATTAGAAAAATAAATTACTTTACACTAGTCCTCGTAAAAAAACGAAAATGATCATTTCGCTTCACTTAAAATACCGGTCTCATCGAGCAATACTTCGTCTCACCTGATAGTCAGACTTGTTATTTTTGCTGATATGAAACTCTAAAGAGAAGACTTCTGTCAGGTGGATAAAATGGCATTTCGAGAAGATCTAACTAAACTCCAAAGTTGGACAGATGACAACGGACTTACCACTAACAATTCAAAGTGTAAAATAGTCCATCTGAGACATGTTGCAGATTACAACTGCAACTCAGGTAAATTCTCTCCAGAGGTGTCCCAAATTGAAAAAGATCTAAGAGTGTTGGCACCCTATGGTCTGAAGTCTTATGCTAACTGTGACACAAATGCCTTTCGCGTAAATCTTACACTGGTAAAGTTGAAGCGCACTTTCAGCCATTTTCATGGAAGGGCTTTCCATATAATTTTCAACAGTTTTATTTGTCCCTATTTAGAGTGCAGAAACATAGTGTTTTCCCTCATTCAAAAATGTTAAGGACACTCTGGAATGTATCCAACGGCAAGCCATGAAATGATACACCTTAATGACTAAGGAGAGCGTTTCGCTATAAATTAGCAACTTTTCCTTCTTTATCCTCTTTAATCGTTAATATGCCTGGGTTCCTACCTGTAGGCATTGGTAGTCCCCTGCTACTAGACACAGAAGTCCCTTAGGCGAAAAGTTCCTTCCATTCTGTACAGAACCATTTCAACAATTTGAACTACCGCAGAGTTTAGTTTTAATCAACCAACGATTTCACCTCTCGCCGATGACCCGCCTGTCCTAGGCCAAATTTTCCAGCTTGTTATCTCCCTAGATGATTGGGTCTTATGGACGGTGTACCTTATCAAAACAAAAAATCATATTCCGGAGATGATATGTCATCAGAGCCTTGCAAAAGTCTGTGTTTAAGTTCTCGTCCCGAAAATGGCAGTTTATTGGTCCCAGTGGGACAAAAGTCGATTGACATTCAACATTTGGGGGATATTTCTTCTGAAGAGTATGAAAGGCTCGTTCTTTCTCCTCCCCCCGTTCCTCTGAATCTCGAGGCTGCTAGTGCTGCTATTTATGAAGCAGCCTGTCGTTCGCACTCTAGGACACAGTCAATTAGTGACAGCACGCCTTCCTTGAAGATAATTAAACACGAGGGATACACTGATTCACATAGTAACTGTAGTGCAAGATCTTCAGGTAAGCTTCAAATTTTTTCGACCCATTCGTATTGTCTAGTTCAAATATAATATTTATGTACAGATTTGAATTCTTCTAAATGTATATATCATGATCATATAGTATTGTTTAATAACTATGTTTAAATTCTTCTAATATGTTAACTATTGCATTCCCTGTGTTAGCTGTCCAGTCAGCGTATGAAGTGAAACTGGAATAGTGTTAAACGATTAATAATTGAGTTTAGTGCTTGAAGTTCGAAGTTATTTGAACTGTCTGAATGAATGTTAGTTTAATACATGTTTAAATGACTTGTCGAGGTTGTCATGTGTTTCACAAGTCGTTGTATATCATCCGTTTTAGTCCCATTGTTTTTGCTAGTCGTTATGAGATCTGTTAATTTGGTTTGTAAACTCTAATGCCCAAGTCAAAATTGTAGAACAAACTTTATAAATCAAAGGATCGCTCTGAAACTTCTTCCATAACGAGTCGTACTAGAGTACGTTCACTCTAGGAAAAGCTAAGTCTACACTTCCTAGCACAAGTTTCTAGTTGGTAGTTTATTATCACTGTATGAATATCTAATTTAAACTCAAATTATAGTCGAATACGTGGCTTGAGAAAACCCTCGTATATACAGCGAAAATCTCCAAGACAAATGAATTAAAGGCAGAAACAAAAAGGATAGATATCAATCGGTAACAACTAGAAAGGTGGGGTCAGGACAGAGTTGACGAACCATAGTCGACGGCTTATGACCCATAAAAGGTAACAGAGGTAAGTAAATAATGTACTTCATAGTTCCAGATTTACTTCCTGATTCTGTCGCTTATTTACTTAATGTACAACCATTAGGTCATAACTATGAAACCCTCTTGACTTACTTAACCTTCATTTGGCCGGCTGTATCTGTAAACCCTCAAACAATGATGTCGTTGATGTTAATATGTACTCGGTCGCCAAGTTGTTTCCATAATTTAATGTGGCCATTTACTCTTTGTTAATCAACCTCTTCTGGAGATGTCTTTAATGATGAGTTGATCTTTCTGAGCGATCTAACCAACTGTAGGTACTGGTTAAGTAGCTAAATAGTTAGTCGGTCACAAATTTATTTATTTAAACACATAAACATTGCTGCAGGAGAGCAACACAATATAACGGCACCACACAAATTATTGGATTTGAGTGTGGGCTGGGACACTGCCTAGGTGCCCAAACCGAAGCAGGTGTGTCACAAAAGTATAGGATACGCCCACATACACTGGTCTAAGATGGTACGTCAGAACTGAATATATAGCTGAGGAGTTTAAGAATTGGTTGCACCAATGGTGGTACGAAACTAAATATGAAGATACGATTCCAAAATAACTGACTGATATAAAATTGTGGGTAAGGTAAATGCAATTTCACTATTATGACCAATGAGAGATATGTCGAAAAAGGCTCTAACTATGAATCGGATTATTATACAGATCTCAACCAGGGAGTATGCATGTATCAGTACACCTATGACTATCAGTTAACCACCATAGATTAATGTAAGGTTTTGATTTCCCAGTCGATGTCTTTTTCACATTAGTACTATCGCTGTACCCCGGAGCAAGTAGTGTTGATTTTCGCGACCGACGAAGTTTTAAAGCCTTGTTATCCGGTTTGCTATTTCTCAAATTACCAACACCCATTTAATTCTATCTGTGGTTAAACTACACATTAACACTAACTAACCGCAAAGGAAAATTTTTAATTTAGGGAGTGAGAAACGTCCCAAATATTATTAAACCAGTACTCAAGTTAGTCAGAAGACTTTCCAGTTACCCCTAAACAGAACAATGCCATGCACGTAATTTTAGTCAATGTCTAATCGTAGCAGATAAAACCTTAGAAAGGGTAGGCAAGGGAGGTATAGCTTCTGTTAAAATGTCTACTAATATTAAGTAAAGCAGTTAATTCTGGTGATCGTCACTAGACCTAGTCAATCCAGATGATAGTTAACTGTAAACTTATTCGACTGATCTTATATTTAAGAGACAACATGGATGGATACTATCATAAAGTCTGTCAACCAGTAAAGTGGGTCATTACTAACAGATAAGTATGCCTACTCTCCAAAACGTTACTTAGGAAGAATGTCTAATCAATATATTCACGTTCGGATCCCAAACGGTTTATTTACGCGAGCTTTCTCTCTCTAAACTTAATTTAAGCCTCGAATAATTATAGGAGTTGAAACCATATTAGTCTATATGACTTCTTGGTTTTTCTATAAGGGGATTGCTCCTAAGATGGGACTGTCACTGACATTCACATCCTGATAATGAAGTCTGGAAGGTTTTCCTGTGGTGGGCTTCTGCTTTAAGTACTACGCAAAAATACGTACGATCCAGAATCAAGCGACAATAATCTTTTGAACGCCTTCAACGATAACTGACATCAAAATGGTCTGTAATGATAAAACAGTTGAAACAATAAGCATTCACAAATTAAGGTAATTGTGATGTGTTACATATCCAGCCACCACACGTACCAATACGCATTGTTGGTTAGCATACGAGTAGGTCGTTAGAAGACCAGTGTTCCCCAAAGCAAGATATGAGGTAAAGTCATTGGTTACTTGTTTTAGCTGTATTGGGAAGTGCAGTCTTCCTGGTTGGAATCTGAGCGACAATCCTTGTCTATGACTAAAGACTTTATGTAAAATTATTCAAAATTGTCTCGGCGGTATTGCATTCATTTTTTATTTATTTTTAAACACAGCTCTAACGCTACGTAAAAGTTTTCTGCCCTAGATTTCATTTCGGACTACATTTCATACTTTTTGTAATGTCTTAAAACAGAATGATTTATCAAGGTTGACTTAAAACTAGATGCCGATTACTGCTAGTGATACGACTGCGAAATATTTCTAGCTGCTGCTGATTGCAACGGAACGAAACTTCTTTGTCAACACAAGGTTAAAAGCAGACTAAATTGTTCACCAATTACTTATTATATGACATCCAAACTAATAAATAATACATCATTTTAAATGTTTGGTCAGTCAATAATTTCGGATGAGTCGAACTATTGGTAGTTAATCAGTAATTTAATGTGTGTACAGCACCTTCAAGATAAATAAATAAATAATATATTTCATCACTGAATTATATATTTGTTCTATTCCTAACACCTCCCAAAAGAATGAAGTTTCTTTTTGTTTTCGCTCTGACTTTTGTTGTTTGATAACAGTGTTTGGTTAGGAAATCAACGTGTAAAGTTGTGTTCTTCCAAGGTGTGGCTTTTGAGTTTCTCGTTATGTATTATTTCTTTGGTAACATTCATAACTTGGGATTCCGCTGCGATTCTCTTCGACTGGTTCTCGATTTCATTACGACCATCTGACTAACCAAAAACCTTCAGCCACCACTTACGAGTATTGCTTGACGATCAAACTCTTGATGTAACTTGTTACCTTAATCTCTGTAGCTATATTGTTTCGGTCTTCTTTGATCTGGACTATGATTGTCGAAGTCATGATATCGATTGAGCTGAATGCCACGGCCCTAACTAAAACATTTTCTTGTTTTGTACCTTCCACCTCTCTAGGACCGTTTACATTAATTACCAACTTGGGTAGTGTTTCTATCTTCCCATTCGTAGCTGTGATTTACTCATCTTCGGATAACATCGATAATGGCTTTGTTACTGTAGGCGATTCTGACATCTGAGAAGCAATTCTCATAACTTTGGTCTTGAATTTCACCTCGCCATTGGTTATCGTATCAAGCTTCATCCCAGAAAACCGAAATATTTTGACTCTATACTTACAGAGAAATATTATTTAATCATTGCGAATATAGGCTGTGTACTAATTCAGTCAAGTCCGTGTGTTCAAGTTGGCTTCGGTAATACTGCATGGTTTGGCTGTAGTTTCATCCTGATATGTAACCTTCCAATGTAGTAGTCCTTAAGATGCAATATTCCACTAGTCACATTTTAAAGTCCGAAATGTTTTCTGGAATTCTGCTTTTCCTAGGTATCTTCATAGTTTGGTTGGTATTATAGTAATATAACATGTATCTGAGTATAGCCTTGTAGGATATTCATCTATTTGTAAAGGTATATATATTCTTTTAGCTCTACCTGTAACTCTGAATGTTGCGGGTAGGCTTCCTAAATTCAATGACGCTTGACATGAAGGGATTTTCTCCGTCCTGTTGTAGATCTAATTTTCCTAGGGCGCAACTGGTAACAATTTTCTATACGTCCGATGTTGTGGCATTGATAACAGCGACGTTTCTTGAAATGACAGTTAGGCAAAATGCCATTTTATCACTGCCAACAAATTGAAGGGAGCATTTCCTTGCTACTACTGGCTTGAGAACATTGGTTGGGTGTTTTTTTTGACTCTGTCATTTCATGTACTCCACTGGACTGTCCCGGTTGCAGAAGCATTGCAGTATCATATCTAAGGTTTATTAACCGTCGACATTCTTCACTAACTGTTTGTATTATCAATTTTACTCAGAGAACGTGTATGGGTATGTGCATCTTTTGAGGACTGTAGACCGCAGATAAAATTAGGGCATTTAAATTGGTCATCTGAGACGGATTGTAATTTGAAGCGTTCGCATTTCCAGTTTCTCCCTTTTTGTTGATGTGAGGTATGGTAACTTAAAATGATAAACACGTTTGACATGTCATAGGTTGTCTGCGACTGCCTGACAGTGTATTCCACATTACTGTTAGTTGTATTGACGACCTTAGGTTTTTAAAGTTGGTTGAGTAATACAATTTTTGAATACATATAGTGTTTTTACAATTATGTTAATTCTTTTTAATTGTCATTTAAGCTCATGAGATTTCCAAGCAAGGGCCAAAAGAAGTTTTGCCTTGTCATACTGACACAAAGCCTCAGAACAAATGGCGACGTTTTCTGTGTTGTTTTCCTGATAAAGCTTGCCGTCCACTACCGTCGAAACGAAAGGATTCCTCTCCTGTTAAAGGAACATTGTCCGCAAAGTCTCCATCTCCTAGTGACGGTAAATCTAACTTCAATGAAGTAAATGATCTTGTAAATAAAAAGTCAACCAAACCGGCAAAATCTGGGAGCAAAAAACGCTCCAGAAAATTGAAGGGTTTGTCAGTTGACGACACAACCGGATGTAAAGCTGACCAATTAGCGCCCCCGTCATCTACCGAAGAATTACCCATACCTACTGTATCAATTTTCCAACCTGTTCTCCCCAGTATGGTGTTGAATGCTTTAGGATCAAAAGCTGATAGCTCTATCCATTCGGCTTCAGTATCAAATGGTTACAGTTTCAGCGATCCTGATGTTCGTGTAGAGTCACCAGTCTTGCGGTCGACTGTCGGAATGAATGTCAACACATCTAAGTCGCACTATCCGTTTCAATTTTCAGCCTTAAAACGTAACACATCTAATGATGCATACGGCATAAAGCTTGCTGATAACACTGAATGTCAGAGTCCTACTACACAGGTAGAAAATACTAATGGTTTTGAGTCTGCACATCACGTGATTCACCAACAGTTACAGCCTTTGCATTCATCATGGGTTGAGTGTGACAACCCTGATGGTAATCATCTTGTCCCGGACAGCTATCCTCATGACCAATATGCTATCAATTACGATAGAAATAATGGACAAGGTGATGCTTCTTCCGAAAATCTTGACCATGTAAGTTCGAAATTGAGAAAAATAAATCTAGCTTTAATTGACTCATGAATTCAACTATTAAATTACTAAAATCTCAACAAAACCCCCTTCTGATAAAATACATCATTTTATTTAGAGTGAAACTAAGCATATGCATTTTGCTTTAAACCTTCCCAACCCCGATTAGCTTGATTTTATTCTGTTCGATAATGTATTAACAATTTTTATGTGCAATTTAGCAAGCCACTCCAATAAATTGAGGATCTTGCTTCTGAACTACCCGAATATTTCATCAGCGTTCTTAATATCGGTTCGAGTCATCGTGCAATGACACAAAAGTTCTCCACTTTAGTGTTTTAACATCGTTCCCCTACATGTCTTATCAAAAGTTGCCGAAAAAATATTATCATCAGCAAATATGTTTTATAACTCCTATTCTTTACCCTCCTTGAACAAATAGTGGTTCTGAAAGCAAACAGACCATTACCTATCTGCACTGATTCACCTGCTTTTAAAGTGCTTTTATTCACAGATAGTTTGCTTATTGTCTCAGACTCTTCACATTCTTTTTCTAAACTATATCTTAATGATGCCTGTCTTCAAATGAAAGTGGTTAAATACTAACTACTTGATATAAAAGCCACCCTATCTGTCTTAATAACTAATAGATACAACTGTCTGACATTCATAGAGTTACCTCTTACCTAAATTATATAACAGTTGTCGCCAGTTCTCGAAAATACTATTATAGCAGACCACAATCTGTACTACAAGGAATCTACCATGAGGGTTTTGGTTTTGTCCAATGAAATTCTATTCTTTCGGTCAGTAAAGTAGCTTGATAGTTGTCAGCCTGATCCAGAAGATATTCGTTCTTTACAACCTGTTCATCTTCAAAGACATTTACTTGTCAATAGTACCTTGAACCCAATGGAGACGGTCCGAACTTCTTGCCTTAGATGCCCTGTATGCAATCTCTATCTCCTACTTGGTAGGGATGTACTTTTGAGCTTCAATAGTTGTGAGCTGACCATATATAAACTGAGTTAGAAACTCGAACACTGATTCCAATAAGGGGACATGCTGTTTTTGCTTTTTGCCACTCAGTTGTTCCATGAGTTCGTTTATGGTCGGGGATTCACGTGATTGAATGATTAAAGGCTATTTCCTATTATATTCGGGTTTAAATATGGGACTCAGACAGACTAAGTCGTCTTTGACTACTAACTCTAAAGTTATCGGGTTTCAAAAGCGCCTCACTGGTCAAATGAATATATTAGAAGTTATGCAGAAGCCTCAGGAAAAGATGTATTAAAATTTAGTTGTGTTGATAAGCATTAAGTAAACGTCACTTCTTGTTTTGATAAGTGGATAGTTGAAAGAGTTTACCTCAAATAATTACATCCCGACCGAAGCTGCTACCTTGACGCGGTGGTCGGGCTTGCCTATCGTGATGACCCAAGCGAGCTATATTGGCTGGAACATATGTTCCTGTAGGTTCTACCATGCCAGGTAGGTCGATTGGAGAACGGTAAGACTAAAAGCAGCAACTCAAGGTCTGAGGGCGAAGTCGTACTGCTGACTGTAGAGGGGTGTGACAGCAGTAAGGTGTTTCCCTCGGACAACCAGCATCTGCAGCGATGCTGCCTTCCCACAAGGAAGGAAGGGGTTAGAAAAGGTCGACCCTAAAAATGTCACACCTCACCTTACCTCACGGATTTCCTTCTCCGGCGGTAAGGCCCTTTCAAGAACGGGGCTAACACATTAAAAACCTTCCACGAAAAGGCCGTGCGCGACCGGCCTCAAGCAGTTGTCCCTTGGGCACTGCGGTCACGCTCCCAGGTCGTTAAGACCAACACTAATCCAATTTCCTTTTCAGGTTCCTCAAGAAATACCCTTCCACGGTGTGGGCAGCCGGGAAGTGATATCAGCCCTCATACCCGTAACAGCACACGAGACCAAGTTGGTCACATTCAAATCCTTCCTACACCTCTTAATACCTCTCTTATCTCCATGACTAACCCTTCTCACGTCTCTTTATCATCTCGCACCGCTAGGGCAAACGATTCGATTACTCGGAACGCTATTCCTGGTCTCCTGAAACCACGCTCTAAACTACACGTAGGAGCTTTTAACGTCCGAACACTATGCCAAATAGGGCAACAGGCTTCCTTAGCTAGGACTTTAGAATCCCGCGCCATCGATGTGTGCTGCGTCTCCAAAACGCGCATACAGGATCCTAATAGCGTCATCTATTTGACCTCACCATGCCAAAATAAAGAACCGACTCGATTCACACTTCGTGTATCTGGAAGCCCTGATTCTGCTTCCCGCGGCCTCGCCGGTGTAGGTATAGCATTGAGTCCTAGGGCAGAACTAGCTCTCAGACTGGATCCCAGTAGACAGTCGTTTGTGCGCTGTCCGACTGAACGGAGGAGTAAGAATCCGAAAAGATAGGGACACTCGTCGTTGCCTCTTCGTCGTCTCTGCCTATTCTCCCACTGACTGCAGCTCAGATGATGTAAAAGATGAGTTTTACAGAAAGCTCTCCGACCTCATCCTTAAAGTAAGGCGTTCGGATGTAGTAATAATGGCCGGTGACTTTAATGCTCAAGTAGGTAAACTAAGCGATAGGGAGAGACACCTGGGTGGATCTTATAGTGTCGTGGCTCAAAGAACAGATAATGGTGACCGTTTGTTGCAGTTATGCTCAGATAGCCGCCTGTTTCTTGCAAATACTAACTTAAGGCATAAGGAAAAACATCTTTTAACATGGAGACCCCCTGATTCGTCCCAACGTTGGACCCAAATAGATCACATCGCTATCAGCCACCGATGGAGGGGCTCCATAGAAGACTGTCGCTCATTCTGGATCACATGCCTAGATTCAGATCATGCTCTAGTGCGAGCACATATTTGCTTGAGTCTTACTGGACGTAGGAAAGACGCTGCAAGGAAACATCTTAGGGCCCTACTTAATGATAGTCAAGCTAAGAATATATTTGTAGTGTCAGTTATTATGCCAAGCCCATATACCTTATTCGAGCTTTCGGACATCCCATTCTATTCATTCTACTCGAGCCATACTTTGACCTTGTTATTTATTCGCTTATCAATCTAGACTGTTTTTATATGAGCGTATATGTATGTGCCCTTCTTATCCTATTAATCACATGTCTGTAGCTTTATTTTGTCTGACTATAAATATTGAGTAACGCTCGACTAAAATGGAGTTGGCTTCCCAGCCATCTTCCATACGTGTGATTTTTGATTTGCTGTGCTTCATTCGCTTTATGCACGAAATATATGTATTCTCAAGTCAATCCTCGTTATTCGACTTATTTAATTCCGTTATTGGATAACGCGATTTAAGTCTAAAATGGAGTCAGATACACGGGCCACTAAATATTTCAGGAACAACTAGGAAAACAGTTAGGCAGCCATGTATGTGATGCCCACCCTGAGGCAGCATGAAATGATATCCGAAAAGCTGTGGAAACAGCAGTGATATCTACCAGTAAGGTAACCCGTAAGGTTAGGGAGCAACACTGAGTCTCAGCAACATCTATCTCACTGATAGATGCTCGGAAACTCATTCCACCTGGCTCTGAACATAATGAAGAGCGGAGTCAGCTTAAGCGCAAGCTGACAAGAAGTCTACGCAATGATCGTGAACAGTGGTGGGTAGCGAAAGCAAGAGAGATGGAAAAGGCAGCGGCAATAGGTAATAGCAGACAATTGTTCAGACTTGTTAAGGAAACCGGAATTAGGAACCCGACTGTTAGCGAAACAATCTCAGAGAAAGGTGGACATATTATACATTCTCAATCCAGGAGATTGGATCGATGGGCAGAAAATTTCAGGGATCAGTTCAACTGGCCTTCAGCCACACTTCGGTTTCCCACGATCTCCAGTCAACCTGAATGGCAAGTTAATGTAGGTCCTCCGTCTCTTTACGAAGTTGAAAAAGCCATAGGAAATCTGAAGCGAGGGAGAGCAGCAGGCCCTGACAGGTTTACTCCTGAGATTTTTAAGGATGGTGGTCCAGTATTAGCAATGAGATTAACCGAGGTCTTAGGTAGAATTTGGGAACTGGAAACAGTCCCATCTGACTGGTCTCAATCACTGATTGTGCCAGTCTATAAGAAAGGACAAAAGTCCTCTTGTGACAATCACAGAGGAATCAGTTTGACAAATATAGTGTCTAAAATATTAGCTTCAATAATACTTCGACGCCTAACCAAAGCTCGTGAAGAGCAGACTAGAGAAAACCAGGCTGGTTTTCGACCTGGACGTGGTTGTATAGATCAGATATTCACACTACGTCAGGTTCTAGAACACAGACACTCGTTAAGACGCCCCACAATGGTAGTATTTCTCGACCTTAAGGCGGCATTCGACTCTGTTGATCGTAAGGTTCTATGGCAGTGTTTGCCACTGAAAGGAGTACCAAAGAAGTACATTAACCTTATAAAGGCTCTCTACTCGAACACAACTGGTAGAGTGAGAGCTTATGGCGAGCTGTCATCAGAATTGATTACCTCAAGTGGTGTTCGTCAGGGCCGTCCACTCTCTCCATTCTTGTCCAACTTTGTCGTTGATGTGCTTTTAGAGATAACACTCTCCTCATCTAAATTTCCAGGAGTTGAACTTCTACCACGAGATTCACTTTCTGACCTAGAATATGCCGATGACATAGTTCTATTTGGTGAAGACGCTGACAAAATGCAGAGTCTTCTGACCACTCTAAACAACAATGCAAGCATGTTCGGGATGCGATTCTCCCCCTCGAAATGCAAAATGTTGCTTCACGATTGGGTTACATCGACACCCGAACTAGTGATAGGGAGTGAAGTAGTTGAGTGTGTCGATCGCTTCACTTATCTTGCAAGTCTCATCAGCCCTTGTGGTCTGGTGTGTGACGAAATCTCATCACGGATACAGAAGGCTCGACTAGCTTTTACCAACTTGCGTCATTTCTGGTGTAGGCGAGATATCCGTCTACTAACCAAAGGACGGGTTTACGGCAGAGTTCGTTCTGTCACACTTTATGGCAGTGAAACATGGCCGGTAAGAGTGGAGGATATTCGTAGGTTGCTAGTATTCGATTATAGGTGTCTTCGAAATATTGCTCGTATATCGTGGGACCATCGAGTAAGTAATGCAGTTGTTAGGAAACGGGTACTAGGTAAGGATGGCAAATCAATTGATGACGTAGTGAAAGTTCATCAGTTGAGATGGCTTGGACACGTGTTACGTATGCCCAACGATTGACTGCCTCGACGCGCGATGTTCATTGGTATAGGAGTAGGTTGGAAGAAAGCTAGGGGCGGTCAGACCAAATTTGGCACAAGTTCATGAAGTCACTGACAAGTGGTCTGAGTCATGTCGGTAGGTGTAGACTACCTGGTTGGGGACCACGAGATGATAGCAACCGATGGTTAGAAACCCTGAATGACATGGCTCAAAATCGTTTGCAATGGCGCAGGTGCATCCACTCTTTGTGTTCTCCCAAATTTTGATCTCATTCCTCCTTGTCTCTTTTTTTCTCCTCTCAGATTTATTTCACTGTATTATACTCTTTAAGTATCATCTCCAAACACTAATCTTCCCGATTACCGCTTATACTCTTGCTACCTCTACCACTAGGGGATTCGAATCGACAACTGCATCTCTGTGCTAAGGTGGTGTGGCAACTCGAAGTGATGTACGTACGTACGAACTTCTGCGTTGTTACTGACTGTCAAATAATTACATTGTTATAAATTAATAACCATCAATTCGTGAGGATTCCATTTTTATTATTGAATCATTTTGATTCAGCATTCATATATTATCAAGATTATCGAAAAAGCCCTAAATCCATTTATTTTCTTTTTCAGTTACCACCTGGAATAGATCTATTGGGTGAAGTTGACTCAGACTGTGTGAATAAAAAGTGCTTAGTTTTGGACTTGGATGAGACATTGGTGCATAGTTCCTTCAAAGTAAGCGTTATTTCATTCAATTAATCTCAAATACTTTCTTCGTGATTAATTATGATCGTTGTTCATGATTCACTTTAGTTAAGTAAAGTTTTGATAGTATATAAAGTAGATAGATTGTTGTCAGCGATGGAATCTATGAGTTGTGTTCGGTTTGTTTCCATATATTAATTTATCTAAAATACGAACCAATACAAATGGATCATAAGTTTTCTCACTGAATACTTCTAATAACCTCAGGGTAAATCTATACGGTAACTTGAACACATGAGAAAAGTTGCGAAGATTGACAATAAGGATTTATTTGACTCCCAAAATAAATCGGAATGATTTAAGAATACCTCACATTTTATATGATTTATTTACAATTGGATTAAAGTCAGATTTGTATAAATCGAACTGAGTTGTATTTGACAATAATAATTCAATAACTTACTGTGCGAACGCATATATACAATATCATACAATTAATCATCTGTAGTCCTTCTTAAGACGTGATGAATACGCACACGATTGAAAAAAAATCAATTTCATACGTCGTTCACATTCCAAATGATTAAGCTATTACTCGCCATATCAATGGATGCCAAAACAAATGTGCCACATAAATAAGAAGATGAAATTGCAAAAAGATAGAGAAAGGAAGGAGACTATAATCAAAATACACAAACGAATATAAATAAGTGAACGATAATAGTTTGTAGTGAGAGAAACAACAGTCTTTTTGGTTAAAGTTCTCATTTTTATGAACTTCAGCACCGTCATTGGCTTCTATTCTAAGCCGTGTCTGACATTTCAAATCACTAAGTTGCACTATTTCTAGGATCCCAACCAGTTAGTTATGATGGACTGACATGTCAGTCATGCATAGCTTCCTTTCATATTCCAGCACCATATCATACAGCGGCTACTTCTCCGCTTCTTCCAACCAGTCCCAGCATCGTGACATACGTACCAATATATATTCTTAAATACTTTTAAAATACCTGTTTTGGGAAACCAGTAGCTAGTAGCCTCCAGTAATGTACTCGTCATGGGAACAATATGCCATACCAATCTTCACGTTCCAAAACCATCGACTTAATCTCAAGGAAAATTGAAATGAGTGATCACTAGTACCTTCCATTAATTTACTTACATTTTCTTCAAATAAATATTATGGTCATTTTGATTTGTTTGGAAAATGATTTTAGTTTATAAAGTAAACTTTTCCGGTATAGTATCTCTTTTGTTTACCTTACTTTTTGCTTTGTAATCGATCTGTCGTTAGAAAGTGAGCGAGAATCCTTTTCATTGGTACTATATAGTTAGTTTATATTTGTCACTGTTTATCAATTGTATTTAGTTGATGTTTGTTTACATTCGCCCGTATATGTGCGCACTTTATTAGGCGACTGTCTGTATAGCTTCATATTTGTGTGCGATAAAATTCAGAGCCGTGTGACTTCACTAGGATATTATTTCGAGTGTTTTTTGTACCAGAAAGTATATCATAAAATTCAAGTTTTACGATACTAAGTGCTTCGGTAACAACAATATTTTATTCTGAAACGAATTTTAACTATTATTTGACAAACCATTTATATCATTAGGTGTAAAACCAGGTTATTAAGTATTTTTCTCAAAATATGCCTGATAGTATCTGCAATACACAACACTTTGATCTCATGGTAATAATGTTTGTATTAAAAAAATGTCAACCAAGTATACTGCCTAAAAGATATCTAATCAAACCCTTGATAGGTAGATAGAAAAGTTCATGACAAGCTTCTTTCAGAATCTGTCGCAAATATGCGACGTCAAATAAAAAGCTAAAGTTGCAATATTGTATAGCAATATAAAAATAGTTAACAGAAGTGTGGACTTTAAAACATATAGGGTTAGTACGGTCACTAAACGGTCTAATGAGTTTTCGATTCGAAGATCCCCAAGATTTAATTGGAAATAATCAATAAATGTATCTGTACAACTTTGAATAGTGTTCTAGAATATTCAATAAGCATGGGTGATAATAGTTAATTACATTTATTTGTTAGAACTTCTGCATTATGAACAGTGTATCAGAAGTCCGAGCGTCTTTTGCCTACTTGACTATTAACATTGGATTTTTAAGCAAACTGTACGAAAGAAACTTTAACTATCTGGCATATTTGCAGTGTTTGTACCATAAAAGTGATTGAAAGTCATTCGTAGGGGGAAAGCTTTAAAACGATTAATTTCTGGTGAATCAGGCCAAAGTTATGTTCTTGTTTTGCAGACTAATTTGTTTGTATCATTATTGTGGAGTTCCGTGAGTCCGGCGCTTTACTTATGTCTACTTGTTTAGGCACTTTGAGAGTTTTTATCATAAGCGTACATAAGTTTGAGGAAAAATTAACCGTATGAGAATAGTTATTTTTCTTCATAATTACTGATTTGTCAGTGTCACACTTCTTCAGAGATCCGGTCATTTCGTTGTATACATATTAGTTTGAGCCTATTTGTTGAAATCCGGTGACATTCTTTTCCAACTTTATCCAGTTATTAATGTGAAGTATATTCATGCATGTTTACGAAGTAATATAATGACAAATTAAGAGACCTATGCTTAGATAATTGATAAAATGGATTTATTACAAATATCAAGAAATATATTAAACGTAAAAGTAGTTTTTTTGATTATAAACAAAATGTTAAGATATGCGTTCACCGTAATCAAATCCATTTCTTCAACAGTATATAGTATTGTTCGTTCTAATTAGATCTGAACAGATATGAGAAATTCGTTGTCTCGGTTTAACATTTTTGTTCTTTAACTCATATCTTCTGGGTTATTAGAATAGTTTGGAATTTAGAACTTTTGTCATATATTTATATCTGTTTATGTCTACAAGATTCATATGCTTCAAATATCTTTTTCATATTCCAGTATGTAGAAAACGCAGATTTTGTTGTTCCCGTGGAAATCAATGGCACTATTCAACAAGTTAGTCAAATTGTACTTTTGAGACATGTGATAATTTGATTTAGTTTATCTTCATTCACACTTAATTTATCCAAATTTATTGCATAAAAACCCCTATACGTCATCTGACAAATGACGGTTAGGCAGAATTTTTTAGACGTTATCATTTACAGTCGTATCTATAATAATTTCAGATATTGTAGTCTACTGTTTCTGACTATCCTTCGACTATTACCTAATTTGTATTTGATACTTGGAATTTTTTATCGACCCTCGACGTTGTTAATGACCCAACACCCTATTTTATAGACGCTTATGTATAAAATACGATCATACGGCCTTAGTAAATGACAGTTAGAAAAAAGACCTTTTTGCTGAGCTAAAGTTATTACTTAGATTCATTCTGTAGGGTTTATCTCTGTGAATTTGTCTTACTACGTGATTGCTTGGTATGAAGTCGAAAACATCTTATATTGTGAAATGTCACATGGTTACTTGTGGATTATTTTGCAACTACCAGGTTTATTAACTAAATATTAATCGTTCAGGTTATGGATGTGTAATAGATTGCTAGCTGACTGCTGAACATAAATGATCTATTTGTATAATACTTCCTATTGTGTCTCATCACACACGTTTATGGACATTTCCGATCAATTATTTGAACAGAAACAATTAAAACTAAAGCATAAATCCTCAATAGGAGTATGGTAATCTTCATTATAGGGTCTTGGGTAAGAAGGTAATCATAAAGAAATAAATGTTTTACATGGCTACTCTCGTTAGTTTCATAGTATTACTTTGAGTGAGATGAAATAATTCGCAATTTGCTGATGTATGTTGAATGCGTGGTGAGTAATGTAATGATCAGACGCAAAGCTAATTCTTCCTTTAGGCTCTACCATTCCAGACAGGTCGATTAGATATCGGTTGGAAAATAAACAGCAAGCACATTGTTTGAGCTAGGCTCTGTTGCCGACTGAATTGTCATATGGTAATAGATAGACAGAAGACAAACTGGGAAATTTGTTTCTAAAAATATGATGTGGTTTGTAAAGTATAAACTAGCATTAAAAAATAACCGAACTTCAGCAACTGTCCTGCGGTCGACAGTACTTTAAATAGTAAACCAGTTGCTTTGCCGAGCCCTTCGAGAATATTTTTTTCACAATTTGGGCAACGGGGAGGTGTTTACCGTTGGCTTTAACTAAGAACACTAATCAATACTGCTCATAATCAAGCTATTTACTCATTTTATACTTTTTTTTCTTACTAATCATACATTAGTTCCATATGTCTTCTCATTTGCAACATGGTAACCTTGGTCTAAAACATTACCCCGAACAACGTGTATCATTCGGTGTTCGAATTGTATGTACTGTATCTCGAACCCACCTGCAAGACTGAAATCTCATTGATTTAACCTTGCTAAGACCAATATATTTGACTCAGTTAGTCATCTACAACGTAGGACCAGGCACATATACACATCGTTCCAGGTTACCATACCTCATTAGCACAACAAGATGAACGCTACTACGGTGTATTTGGCTATCAGAAGTTGGTTGTCGCATGTCTAGAGACCCGTTAGACGACGTTAGACGACTCTCTGTGTTCGGTCATCGCTGTCTCCGAAGGATTGCTGACATTCAGCGGCAACACCATGTCAGTAATGCATAGGCTCGGCATCGTGTGTTCGGGCACAGAGATGATAATTCAATTGGTGTTACCATCTTGAAACACCGACTTCGGTGGCTTGGACATGTTCTCCGAATGTCGTCTCAGAGAATTCCACGTCGTGCATTATTTGCCGACTCTGGGACTGGTTGGAAGAAGCGGAGAGGTGGTCAGTGCATGACATGGTGTCGTGGCATGAAAGAAAGCTGCAAAGGACTGGCTTGTGTTGGTCCTTCACGACTCCCTGGTTGGGGTCTGAGAGATGGTGCTACACAGTGGCTAGAGACGTTATCAGATATGGCTCAGAATAGAAGCCAGTGGCGATCGTGCTGTAACTTTCTTTTACTTTCTTCATAAAAAGTGGTTGTATCTTCCTTAACCGAAAGATTTCTTCCGATTGTACCTTTGCGTTCCCTGATTACTAGCACATTACCTTACACCAATCTCTTCGTTATTGTTCTCTCTTTTTTTTTGTTGCGCTCCTTAGCTTTTTTTCTTTCTTTGTATTCCTCTCGAATTTTCATTGTTTTGTGTGGCGCATATATATTGGCGCTCTCTTGTACCAATATTCATGTGTCCAAATAAATAAATAAGAGACCCGTTAGGGGCCTTTCGTATTCTTACGGATGTAAGTGTGGTACCGAGTTCTGAAGTAGAGCAGTCATTCATGAACGGAATCTCAGCTGATAATTACATTTTGTTTTATTGAACGGGGATATAAGTACTTGAAAAATAGATACACACGTAGCCTCTTACTCTCTACCTACGCTCTTGCTGACTTCAGCTAGGATGAAGTAAAAGACGAATCCTACCAGAACCTTTCTAACCTTCAAATGTAGTGATTGTGACAGGCAATTTCAATACATAAAAAGGTAAACTAAGCCAAACTAAAATACACTGAAGGGAACTTGTCCACCAAACAAATTAACGTAACCCCTTGTTGCAATTATCCTTAACCGTTTATTGTCATTAAGTGTCAGCCATAAACGTACGTTGGGAGATATTATTTTACCTGGTGATTCGCAATATTGATGCAATGCTGAATACGGTTAAATAATATCCCTATTAGTCGTTTTTGAGGACTTCAGCAGATTTTCGATGCTGTGAGTATTTCAACATAGTATCTTCTCATCCTCTGTTGCCATTATAATGACGTGCAATTCAAATTAAATCGATTTCTCAAAATACATATTTGCTTGTAATTTTTAGACCTCACCTCCGATTTCATTCTAACTTCATCGGTACAATCGTTAAGTAGTATTAATATAAACGGCCCTTTTATTCGATTCAGTGATCAAAAACAAACCCTACTTATTATCTAGTCTACAGTGGCGGTTGAATCTGAATTTAATTACCTTTTCACCGTTCACTGTTTTTAGTTTCCGTGGTTGTGTTTGGTGTGTGGGTTCCAATAACATACTCTTTGTCATCAGTGGTTATATTTAGGGCTATTCTGAAGTTCTGACACTAAATTCAAACTTTCTAATCATTTTTTTTGCTTGAGTTAAATAGAACGCCTACTATTTAATGGTGATGATAAAAAAAGTAATGACAGTTAATCAATATGTGAAACAAATTCATCACTGAATTTTATATACACTTCAGTTATTCACTTAAATTAATAATTTCAAAGGCCTTTGATGTTAGTTACTCTTGAATTTTCGTTTGCTACCATTGTTTACCTACAATTATAAATTTCCTATCTAAAGAAGCTGTTCATTCGACTTGTGGTATACAGTGTGACGAGTACCTATTGATTTTAAATGATGTCCACATTGATCATTTGATTTTCTCACAAAGTCAGCATTCGTTTCAATAATGTGTCTGTTTAAATTTTCCTGTGCTAAATTTGCTCACGTGATTATGAGTGAATTTTCGCTCTTATGTATGTGCTTGTTGTTAAATCAATATATGAGACTAGCATAGTTACACATGCAATCGAGCGTTCTCTGTTTGTAATTTTCTATTCTTACTATGTGTATCAACCAACCTATGAAACGTAGCCTAGACCACACAATTTGACAAACTATAAGTTGGTGTGCTTCAAATGACTCATTTGTTTTCTTGATAATTTGATTTTCGTTGATAAAAGTGAATGCAATCTAAGTTGTAATGCGCATGTTATTCCTTTTATTTTTTCGTTTAGTCACACAGGTTTTGTTAAATCTATTGTTCTAGACACAACTTTTACTGATCATCCATAGGTTTCCACTTATTCAGTTTTAGAATTCTAGCATCCTTGTTTAATATACTGTAGCTTTCCTTGGATTGTGTAAAGAACTTTTTTAGCAGCTTTATCCTTTTGGTTCACGTTACTCTTACTTAGATAATACATTGCATGATTTAGGCCAAATCAACTAGAGGACACCTGTTTACACTTATGTTCTACGTGATTAGGGGTGAATGGTTTGCGCGAATACTAAACATGATCAGATCAAGCCATATCATCCTATCATTTAACCATCGATTGTTGGTTTAAGTTGGCTACAGAGCTGTAATTGTGTATTTAGTATCTGTAACGCAGCTGAAATCAATGTTTGGTAACTTACGTTGATTCCAGTTTTCATGACAGCTTTATAGGTGTAAGTGCAAACTACTTGGTTGGGGTCTGCTCGATTATCGTAACCAATCATTAGAGACATAGTTTAAATACATTCACTCTTTGTATTGCCTTAGATCCTGAGTTTCAGAATAATATTTACTTTTTATTCATCAGTCAGTCATTCAGTAACAACGCAGAAGTTCGTACGTACGTACATCACTTCGAGTTGCCACACCACCTTAGCACAGATGCAGTTGTCGATTCGAATCCCCTAGTGGTAGAGGTAGCAAGAGTATAAGCGGTAATCGGGAAGATTAGTGTTTGGAGATGATACTTAAAGAGTATAATACAGTGAAATAAATCTGAGAGGAGAAAAAAAGAGACAAGGAGGAATGAGATCAAAATTTGGGAGAACACAAAGAGTGGATGCACCTGCGCCATTGCAAACGATTTTGAGCCATGTCATTCAGGGTTTCTAACCATCGGTTGCTATCATCTCGTGGTCCCCAACCAGGTAGTCTACACCTACCGACATGACTCAGACCACTTGTCAGTGACTTCATGAACTTGTGCCAAATTTGGTCTGACCGCCCCTAGCTTTCTTCCAACCTACTCCTATACCAATGAACATCGCGCGTCGAGGCAGTCAATCGTTGGGCATACGTAACACGTGTCCAAGCCATCTCAACTGATGAACTTTCACTACGTCATCAATTGATTTGCCATCCTTACCTAGTACCCGTTTCCTAACAACTGCATTACTTACTCGATGGTCCCACGATATACGAGCAATATTTCGAAGACACCTATAATCGAATACTAGCAACCTACGAATATCCTCCACTCTTACCGGCCATGTTTCACTGCCATAAAGTGTGACAGAACGAACTCTGCCGTAAACCCGTCCTTTGGTTAGTAGACGGATATCTCGCCTACACCAGAAATGACGCAAGTTGGTAAAAGCTAGTCGAGCCTTCTGTATCCGTGATGAGATTTCGTCACACACCAGACCACAAGGGCTGGTGAGACTTGCAAGATAAGTGAAGCGATCGACACACTCAACTACTTCACTCCCTATCACTAGTTCGGGTGTCGATGTAACCCAATCGTGAAGCAACATTTTGCATTTCGAGGGGGAGAATCGCATCCCGAACATGCTTGCATTGTTGTTTAGAGTGGTCAGAAGACTCTGCATTTTGTCAGCGTCTTCACCAAATAGAACTATGTCATCGGCATATTCTAGGTCAGAAAGTGAATCTCGTGGTAGAAGTTCAACTCCTGGAAATTTAGATGAGGAGAGTGTTATCTCTAAAAGCACATCAACGACAAAGTTGGACAAGAATGGAGAGAGTGGACAGCCCTGACGAACACCACTTGAGGTAATCAATTCTGATGACAGCTCGCCATAAGCTCTCACTCTACCAGTTGTGTTCGAGTAGAGAGCCTTTATAAGGTTAATGTACTTCTTTGGTACTCCTTTCAGTGGCAAACACTGCCATAGAACCTTACGATCAACAGAGTCGAATTCCGCCTTAAGGTCGAGAAATACTACCATTGTGGGGCGTCTTAACGAGTGTCTGTGTTCTAGAACCTGACGTAGTGTGAATATCTGATCTATACAACCACGTCCAGGTCGAAAACCAGCCTGGTTTTCTCTAGTCTGCTCTTCACGAGCTTTGGTTAGGCGTCGAAGTATTATTGAAGCTAATATTTTAGACACTATATTTGTCAAACTGATTCCTCTGTGATTGTCACAAGAGGACTTTTGTCCTTTCTTATAGACTGGCACAATCAGTGATTGAGACCAGTCAGATGGGACTGTTTCCAGTTCCCAAATTCTACCTAAGACCTCGGTTAATCTCATTGCTAATACTGGACCACCATCCTTAAAAATCTCAGGAGTAAACCTGTCAGGGCCTGCTGCTCTCCCTCGCTTCAGATTTCCTATGGCTTTTTCAACTTCGTAAAGAGACGGAGGACCTACATTAACTTGCCATTCAGGTTGACTGGAGATCGTGGGAAACCGAAGTGTGGCTGAAGGCCAGTTGAACTGATCCCTGAAATTTTCTGCCCATCGATCCAATCTCCTGGATTGAGAATGTATAATATGTCCACCTTTCTCTGAGATTGTTTCGCTAACAGTCGGGTTCCTAATTCCGGTTTCCTTAACGAGTCTGAACAATTGTCTGCTATTACCTATTGCCGCTGCCTTTTCCATCTCTCTTGCTTTCGCTACCCACCACTGTTCACGATCATTGCGTAGACTTCTTGTCAGCTTGCGCTTAAGCTGACTCCGCTCTTCATTATGTTCAGAGCCAGGTGGAATGAGTTTCCGAGCATCTATCAGTGAGATAGATGTTGCTGAGACTCAGTGTTGCTCCCTAACCTTACGGGTTACCTTACTGGTAGATATCACTGCTGTTTCCACAGCTTTTCGGATATCATTTCATGCTGCCTCAGGGTGGGCATCACATACATGGCTGCCTAACTGTTTTCCTAGTTGTTCCTGAAATATTTAGTGGCCCGTGTATCTGACTCCATTTTAGATTGTATGGATGTTTGTTATCGCCTTTTCTCGTATATCATCATCGACTTAAATCGCGTTATCCAATAACGGAATTAAATAAGTCGAATAACGAGGATTGACTTGAGAATACATATATTTCGTGCATAAAGCGAATGAAGCACAGCAAATCAAAAATCACACGTATGGAAGATGGCTGGGAAGCCAACTCCATTTTAGTCGAGCGTTACTCAATATTTATAGTCAGACAAAATAAAGCTACAGACATGTGATTAATAGGATAAGAAGGGCACATACATATACGCTCATATAAAAACAGTCTAGATTGATAAGCGAATAAATAACAAGGTCAAAGTATGGCTCGAGTAGAATGAATAGAATGGGATGTCCGAAAGCTCGAATAAGGTATATGGGCTTGGCATAATAACTGACACTACAAATATATTCTTAGCTTGACTATCATTAAGTAGGGCCCTAAGATGTTTCCTTGCAGCGTCTTTCCTACGTCCAGTAAGACTCAAGCAAATATGTGCTCGCACTAGAGCATGATCTGAATCTAGGCATGTGATCCAGAATGAGCGACAGTCTTCTATGGAGCCCCTCCATCGGTGGCTGATAGCGATGTGATCTATTTGGGTCCAACGTTGGGACGAATCAGGGGGTCTCCATGTTAAAAGATGTTTTTCCTTATGCCTTAAGTTAGTATTTGCAAGAAACAGGCGGGTATCTGAGCATAGCTGCAACAGACGGTCGCCATTATCTGTTCTTTGAGCCACGACACTATAAGATCCACCCAGGTGTCTTCCTATCGCTTAGTTTACCTACTTGAGCATTAAAGTCGCCGGCCACTATTACTACTTTTTATTCATGCAATCATCTCGAATCGTAATGTTTACACGTAGTGTTTTTTGCTGTCGCTGATACTACTGCTTATACTACTCTGGCATTCATCCTGGTAACCTTATTTCACTGTGCTGGTGTTGTATGGCAACTTGAAAAAAATGTATATATGTCCCAGTTTCTACGTTGGTGAAGGAAATAAATTGGATAAGTCAAGTAATACTGTCTCTAGTTCAGACTTCAATTCCCGTTTTATTCATGAAATCTCTTATATCATTGTGACGGATACTTTGTATGTTAATATTTTTAACTTTTATTTGATAACCATTACATCGAATTGCTTGAACCGAAGCATATATGTGCCTGGTCCTACGTTGTAGCTAACTGACTGACTTTTTAATTTACCTTAGATTCTAAAGAATTCGCTAGGTCTTCTTTCAAACATTTACGAATTACTAGTATTTTGATTGTGTCAAGAAAGGAAACGTATTAATTTTTGTTTAATCTTGTCAAATAGCGTTGTTTGATTTTCGTCGTTTTTTTTAGGTGTATGTCCGAAAAAGACCGTATCTTGATAAGTTTCTTAAAGCTATTGGACCACTTTTTGAGTGCGTTATGTTCACAGCAAGTCTTCGCAAGGTTAGTTTTTATATATATATATATATATATATATATATATATATATATACTACAAATAATAATAAATATTTTGTTTCATTTTTGGAAGGGTTTTTGTTCCATTTGTTCCACTTCCCTTTATACTTTCACGTAATTTCTCTCCTTCATCAAGGTTTCATCTTCCGATTGTTGCAAAATAAAACACTGACCATTTTAGCTTCATTTATCCTTCACGTAAAGTTGAACATCCTATGTGATCTAATGATTTTGGCACTTAAAATTTCCTCTGGTTTCCGCACAATAACAAGAGGATTGGATTAACTTTGGACAGTGTTTATTCTTATAGCATAATAGGAGTTATATCAGCGGTACATTTTTGCTATAATCTCTCTTATTACGACCCGTTTACTCTTATTTCTTAATATTATTCTGACTGTTATATCCCAATGAGAATAATGAATGGTAAATATTGGAATCTATTTCTGGACTAATACTATACATATTTTTTTACTGTATAGTTGTTAAGTAAATAAACTATTCATATTCGTGTTCCTCTTATTATAAACTTTATTTTGACCTATGAACAATCATTATACGATTTACCATTCTTGAGTTATGTCCAGTCTTTCAATTACTATCTTCGACATTCACAGCCACTTTCGGCTAGATCTTGTACAAATGTTATTTTCTGTTTTATGATACTATGTGGTCTGTTTGGTTTGTATATAATAATTCACATAATTCATATCGTGGAAGCTGATATTGGTGTTATGATCTTAATAGGGAGGGCTAGGCAGGAAACAGGGCCGTTAAAGGCTGTAGACTGCTCGTACGGGTTTTATGCATCATTGGTCAATCGCCGCAGATTAATCTTTTACGGTATGGCTCATCTTTAGTTACAAATGTTTTGTTGTACTCCCCAAATCCGATAATTTGTTTGTTATCCGACAAATAGCTTGTTATTGTATATTGATTGAATGTGTTTTATATAAATAGTACTTTATTTGTTTGGTTGTGCTATACTCAGTTTAACAACGGTTTTATCTTATTTTGATTCTTCCAGATAGATTTCGAACTTCAGTTCTCTAAAGCGAACATTTTTTTCAGTCATGTAGTCATTTAATCAACACTGATTCTAGACTTCCATTAAGCTATCTATTACACCACATTAAGTAAAGTATCATCAAAGTGCTACAGAAGTTGTTCAATTTCTTACCTATAAACTTTGTTTTGTTTATTTTATCTGACGTATCTATCTGCTACTTTGTCGATCATTTGTTTCTGACCTCATTCAAATATATCTCTTTCATTTTTTTTTACACAATTTGACATCTTTTCTCTAATCGTTTTATTGTAGTAAATGAACCAGTAATCACGGTGATTTATAAGTAGTATATGTGGTTATATATGAGGATAATCACATTTTTGGCACAAGTATTTTCTCATGGTTTTATATTTGTATTTTGTATGGTTGTCTCCTTAAATTTTTCTTGTTTATCCGTAGTGTTTTTCAAGGATTTGCTTTGTGTATAAATACGTTATCATTCATCCGTTTTTGTATATATTTGTGCCTTTCGCAAAATGTCAATCATTACTTTCATAGTACACTTCAAGAGCCATAAAAAGTCGGTTATCGTGTATATACATACCGTAAATTGCTCATTTTTATGACTTCCAGTTACGTATAAACTAATATTTTTCACACTCTTCTATTTCAGTATGCTGATCCTGTTTGTGATTACATTGATGCCTCGTCGTATTTTCGTCATCGCTTATTTCGCGAGGCATGTGTTGATCATCAGTGCAATTTAATTAAGGATTTGAGTCGTTTGGGAAGAGATGTGGAACAAATATGCATCGTTGACAATTCTCCCATATCATTTTTATTCCAGCCAAGTAATGCAGTACGTGTCATTTGACTGTTACTTTCAATTACTAGCAAACGTATATTTTTTTAAAGAGCTTTTTTCATCTCATCTATACTCCTTATAAATATAGAATTAGTTCGTGTCATTATACACTACTGATATATGTTTTTATTTAGTTGCCATTTTACTCATCTACTTCTATTAAGCACTCAACTCAACTGTTAATCATCACCGGGTTATGAGTTGATAAAGAACATCTTTTTTCATTCTACATAGGTTTGTAATGTCAGTAGTTGTCACACAATAGCTTAGATATTCTCTTCGTACTTATACCTGTAGGTGTCAGTTACCTGTTTATTACGTTACGATCGCGTTAGTCGTTCTATATTTTGAAAGTTCTTAGTTTGGTTGTTATTTATACATATGTCGTAAAGTTTTTTCTTTTCTGAATACTTATTTGAACACTGTATTTCAAGTTAGTGTACATAATAACTTATCCAAGTTAGTTGATTCAAGGAACGTCCATCTCAGCTGTCCTCGTTTCTGATTTTTACATCCCAGAAAACAGTTGTTTGTACAGATCGATCTTTTGCTTAATGATTCATCAATCAGGAATGTTATGGGTTTGTTTGGTGATAGGATGGGTTGAATGTGGAATTTTAGGTAATGTCGAATCAATTTAGTAAGCTCTAAATTCTGATTGGGCAAGATTATTGAGACATGTGTTGACCATGAATTCGCCGAAAATAGAGCTCCTTGCTGAACCAGTTTTTCTTTTTTTATGTCTCAATAGGTATGTTTTGATTATTGAAAGTTTTATTCTTTAAACAGATTTAAAATTCTGTTAAATATATGGTACTTTTTACTATCAATCGTAGAAAAATTAACATTAAATATATTAACTATCCCTTTAAATCCCACAAGAATGTAATCTGGTAACTATGACAGACTCGTAAACTAGAATAAATTGTATACATTCTGTATGGGAAATGTTACTTACATACTGTGCAGACGTTCTTCAGTGAAGTAAATCTACCTCGAAAATAGTGAATTAGTAATGTTGCATTTATTAGTGTGTATTCATCTTTATTTTTTATATTATTTCATCTTTCAGCTCCAAATCGTTTCATGGTTCGGTGATTTAGCTGATCAAGCTTTATGTGAGCTGATACCTTATCTCACCGGTCTAGCTAGTGCACGCACAGTTGTTGATTATCTGAGAGAGTTCAGGCCGCCACAAAATGCAGCTGTTGCGCAACCAGCCACTCCTACATGGTTGTTACTATTTAATCACAGTCTTCCTGGTGACATGAACACTTTAGAAGATAGTGAAGGTGGAGAACTTGAAGATGACGATATTGCTGTGAATTATCACGAAGAAGATGCTGTTCTGTCACCTCATTATTCTTTAAATCATAATCGGTTTTCTTAACCAGTCGTAACATCTGGCTACTTACACATTGATTTCAATTCAAGGCACTGGATTGGAAATTGTCAACGAGTTGTTTACAACTAAACGTACAATAGTACACATTTTCTTCTCCATCAAGAATTTTTCTTTGTTCCAAACGCTCACAATTTATTACACATTACAGTTTATAATGCATATGCATTCCGTGATTTGAATGTGCATTATGAAAAAGGGCCTTTGCCTTTTTTACGTCTATTTTTTTACGGCTGTGCAAAAATGTAGCTTTAATTATATATATCTGAAAACTCGTTAAACTTCACTAAAATTACTCTGTTAAACATCTCTATCTTCACTGTGAGTATTTTTTACTTTGATTACTTTATTTCGGAGTATGATATCACACTCACTGCCTTGTAAAGACTTTGCAGAAATTCTCATCATTTGTTTACTATACAACCACCTTCTGTCTTGTTTTTATTTATTCTTTTTAAGTGAATTACCAGTCTGATAATAATGCTATGCAACTATCGTAAGCTTAATAGATAACATTTGTAATATATATATATATATATATATATATATATATATATATATATATATATATAATCGGAATGTAGGTGTTTTCATTGCTCTTCCAATTAGTTTCGTTAATTGTTGTAGATTTACGTCAATTCTGTTTGATTCAATTATGAGGTTCCACTCTTGACAATGTACTATGCAATTGATTCTCCTATAACATATTCTTTTCATTTTTTCTAAAAGTCTGGAAGAATGTGATTTTTTTCGTGGAACTCAGGTTTATTTGTTTTTGGTTGTATAAAAATGTTTTCATAAAATTGTTTCTTAGTTTCTCTCTTTAGTATGCTCTTCATTTGTCCTCTTTCACTGAGTTATTTACTCGCTCGTTTTTCATATTCACTCTCTATATCCACTTTAATCCTCATCTTTACTTTTATTCTCTACCGTAAAACCTACAGTTTTTGTCACTTGTTGCTCAATGTATGCATCTATAATCAGTGTCTTCCTTCGTTTTACTCCATTATTATAATCCGATTGTTTTTTTAGTGCCCCCTCTTTCTTCATTTACACATTTCTTCACAGAAGCGCCTTAAGTTCTTGCATAAATATTCTATATTCTATTGAATCTTCATGATATATTAACCTTTTATTTAAATAGGTCATCTGTAGAGTAAACCCACTTCGTCCATACCCAGGTTTGGTTATTCCTAACTCCAAATAGTTTATTACCCATTCTTTTTTACATCACATAAGAATATATATATATATAGTCTGTGTTCTGTCTTTATTCTTTTTTTATTTAAAGTATGTAAGCGTTTACTCCGATTGATTTGTCATAGTCTTTCAATATCGGACCTAAGTTTCCGATTGCAACTTGATTTTTCAGAACATTTTAGGACAGTCAGCGATTTTTGTACTCAGAAGTCGTCATTGAATGATTATCCTGGTTTTTCTTCTACTATTGTTACCTTTTTCACTATTTGGCTAAATTACTCGTCAGTTCTATCTGTTCTTAGCCTACAAGTTTGAAATATGTATTTGTGTGCTTGGTTATAAAATGATATGAGCTTATATACCTCAGTGTACTAGATTTGCTCAATATTTGTTCTGTATGAAACTTAATGTTGGATAGTGTTTGAATTGTGTAATGTTTCTGGTTTATACCAGGTCATCTATAAATATTCATTTATGTGTTATTGTTGTCGTTCTTATTTTCCTGTTAATTAATAAATTAGGCAAATATTTCCCATTTCATAAATTTATTACTTTAAAACCAGCATGTCTTTTTTCCCTCAATATTTTATTTGTTTTTATTAGATAATAACTTTAAATATAAAAGTGAAAATATCAATGTCTTTTTTTTAATAAAGAAAGGTGCTTGTTAATTTTAAAATTCAAGATTACTTCTAGGAAATAAAGTGCTATGGACTATCCCAATTCTATATGATGTTACATAGATTTAAACTTATTATCGTTAGCCATTACGTTTAGTTCATAAATATGTGTCTACTAGGTCAAATTATATACATTATTCCCTTAAGTGATCTACAAATTTCCTACATGATGTAACTAGTCTATTAACACCAGTCTAAAGTTATACGTTTGTTTGTCAGATGATGCCGTTGTTAGGTTACAATCTAGAATAATAAATATATTTAATTGAAGACAATGAAGTTGGGAGGTGTATTCCATTCTTAATCAGAAGATAATTATTTTGCTTAAATATACACAAAACCTGTTCAAAATAAAGGAATGAAATAACCTAGCATACTGGGAAAAGTTTTTAGCAGAGGTAGAAAAACGAAGACGCACATAGTAGATTTTAATAAGGAAATGTTTAATCTAAGTAGTACAGAATAAATTACAAAATGCTATCCCCAGCAAGGTAATTCAGTATATCTGACTTTATCACCACCCTAACGGAAAACTCTGTTTTAAATGGCTAATTATTGTAGTCTTTCCAAATAAGTTGGGTTAAGTAGACACTCCTTTTTACAGGAGTTATTTGTATAGCAAACTGAATGTTACCAGTAAATTTATTCACTAAATCCGAATCAAGCTTTTTATGGTGTATTAGTTAAATCATTTAGTCAAGTTTCTATTGATTTAAAGTGTAAAAAACCGAAGTTTTGTGATGATTAGCATATATGCAATTCACCCAGATTTGACCGCCATTGAAGATCGGATAATGAATATGTAAGCCCACATAACTTATTCTAGCTTCAGGACAAGCCAGTCTATTAATTCTTCTTAAACCACGTTCTGACCTTGTCACTTATTGGCTTATTCTGACTGTTTAGATGAGCGTATGTGTATGCACGTCTTATCCTACTCATCACATGTCTGTAGCTTATTTTTATCTGGCTATAAATATTGATTAAATGAAGTTGGTTTACATGCCTTCTCTACTGCACACCATTTCGTTCTCTTCTTCGCTCCCTTCACCACGTCTCTCTGATTGTCTGTTCCGATCAATGATTGTACAAAATATACGTATTCGAAATTCATTTTCGTATTTGACTTCTTAATTCCGTTATACACTCATTTGAGTTAAATCAATGATTATATACGAGGGTAGTCAGGATATGTATATTTCAATAGCAATCAATTATCATAAGATCCAAATGGAGTCAAATCTCAGGCCACTAAAAATTATTTGAAGTCATTGGATTATTCATCCAGGTAGTTGTACTCAACTTGATTAGGCAGTTGGTTGATGAACTCAGAAGTAGAACAAATCTCGTAGTTGGTGTCAAGTTGTTTGTTTTGGTACTCTTGAGATAAACAGGATATTAATTAAAATATGTGAATCAGTTAACATTAGTTGGAAATGTGGTTAATGGTTAGAAACGATTGACAGGATGGCCTTGACCAATATTTCATACTAGTTGGCACTGACCAACTAGAATCTTATTTCAATTTACCAAGTATTTAGCAAGAGGTTTTTATTCCGAAATGAAATCCAACCTTGCTCAATCTATGATTGTTTACGGAATGTCCAACCATTTCTTGTAATTTGTACTAAAACATTTACCAAAAACCGATAGATTCAACCTGCTTATCATCAATAAAATAATATTTTCAAAAAAATGACAATATTTTTTGGTTAAGAAAAAAACCCAAATTCCCACTAGTAACGCTAATGAAAAATGTCTTGAGATTGTTTTGATAAATTTATAATGTTAGTATGTTGGATATAATAGCTATTATTTTAACTAGTCTATTTTTCATTACCGAAGCTGTCTTACATATACTAACAATGATTTATTTTCATGACTCGAGGCAAGGTGATATTTTGAAAATTCTGCACTATAACTGAACGTTCAGTAATAAACGTATGACCTGGTACAAATTCCTACACCATACCAGCACAAAAAGATGAATAACACAGGAGGCAGAATAACATTATTACTCATGGAATAAAACAAAGCACGAGCAATATAATACGATAAATAGGAATATTGAGACTCAAGACGGTAGAAAAGACATCAAGTGAATCTATCTATGTTACCGCAACTGGTTTTAAACCATGTCATCAAAGGTCTCCATCTATTGACTTACAGAGGTTACAACGAAACGTTGTTGATGAACAAACTGTTGAAATGAATGATTTGATAGAGCTGGTAACGTATTGACGGAACTAATCTCCGAATTCGAAGAGACTGGATTTTAGCCCCATTAGTCAGATAACAAAATATTCCAACTTAAAATGGCCACCATATAATGCATGATTATTGAGAGAGCACAAAAAGATATATGAAGTTTCGCTTATATCAACATTCCTAACAAACAGTATTGTAATTTCAAAAGCTTCCAGACAAATTTTGTGCCCAATAACATGCTACAGCAGGATGATCCCTAAATTTCAAGAAAACCCGTTGCATTACATGTTATTATTGTCGAGTTTTCCTCCTGAAATTTGAACAGTTGATTCATTGTGTTACTATAATATGAATAAAATGCGTACACAGTGTGAAAGTTTGTAAACGGATCAAATTTGAAATTCGGATTTCAAAGTAAGCATATAACATGCTTTGAATGCGCTCTTAGAAAGAGTGAAGTTTAACAAGTATAAAAGATCCTCAGTAATTCTTAATAATGGATTTTATTCCTTCTAGCATAGAATTCGTTCACTCATTATAACCTATTGATAGGGAGTTGAGTAAAAGGGTCCACCATGTACAGAAGTGACCGAAGTATGTATAGGTAGATCATAGAATCCCAACTAACTGGTTGGATGGTATACTACCCTATAAGTGAGATCTGAATGTCCTTGATCCTACTGTCTCAGTTGTAAGCTTCCTCTTTAAACTCGTAAATTACTGAGATATAATTTATCGAATAGTTGAAAATCACTTATATTTCAATAGCATGAGTGTTGGGACGGCTTCCAAGAACTACAACGGAGCCTTCAAAGACCCTAGAAGACGCGAAGACTTCTGTCCAATCAGAACGTAATGGAGCTTCCTGGAATATCAACATGGCATGCCACTACTGGTCAGCAGTATAATATGACTCTTTGCGGATTGTTTGAATTATAATGTTGATTTAACAAACGCTAATATCTATAAATACTTATGCTTTTCTGTACATTTTAATTCTTGCCCAACAAGCACTTTCTCCAATCTTCTTCTATCTTCCTATTTGCAACTTGGAGGAGTCTAGCGTTCGAATGCTTAAATTATACACGGTATATTAAGAATCTAAGCTCTAGATATAACAATTAGTCCATTTATAAAATGATACATAGGTAATTTAGATTGACTTGATAAATTCAATTAGACTTTGTTAAAATTTCATCTCTATATAACTTAAAATAGTGATATATAAATGAAGAGTTATACTTTTAATAAATCTTTTAGTTCTACTATCATACATCTAAATTAATCATACAAAATAATAGCTAAACTCAAGGCAATTATTTCTTTTAAGATCATTAGATTTGAATTATCAAGCTTTTATAGATAACATAACCATGTTGATATTGTAATGACTAATTATCATTTTAGATATTTAATTAAGAATTTTTTTATTGTAAAACTTGTAAAAAAAATGCATTAAAAGTAAGATTCTCTTTTTCTAAATATTTAAAATCAATATTTATAAATCTATAAAATTCACCTCATCAATATACTTTTAATTTTATTGATTATCTTGACCTAAATAAACACGTGATTCATCATATACCAAAATTACTTTCATATACATAGATACAATGACTTGTTAACCTAGAAGTTGAAATATGATGTCGATTTTCATTTCACTGATCGGTTTTTTATATTGTATCCATTTGATTTATATATATGAAGAAAGAGAGAGTGAGTGAGAGAAAATAATGAGAATATTGATCATCACTATATAGACACTATATGAAAATAGTCTTCACAACAATATATATATATATATTCTCCAATCAGACTAATGGTATTTAAGCTAACTAAATAATTAAGGTTATTGTTCATCACAAGTATACATTATTTTAAATGGTTAAAAAAGTTTCTAGAATATTGAATTAGAACATTTCATTCCATGTTTATTTGCTTGTCAATTGAAGATAATTAATTCTTAATATGAATAGCATAACATAAATATTATTTCTGGATTGAAATTGATTTTTTTCTGAATTAATTTTAATTGTATTTGTCAAACTATATCACATTTTAATATGAGCTATGAATTTCGGTTATTGATCTTGTTTTTATTTTATTTCTTTTTAATTTTTTTTCTCTCGATTTTTTTCTCTCCATTTGCTTACTACGAATTTAGTCTTCGTAAATTTATTTCATTAATTAAAAGGATCATATAAAATAATGAGTAATTGACTATTAAATATTTATGTAAAACTTATTAGTTAATATTTTTATAAAACTTAATACTTTATAAATAATAAAATTATACTAATTACTAATTTCTTTTGTAGTAAAATATAAACTTTATTGGCACTGAATAACTTTTTCATTCTAGTCAGAGATCTTTTCACAATTAATACCCGAAACCCTTCATTAAACAGAACACAAGAACATTCAGATCTGACTTATAGGGCAGTATACCATCCATTCTATGATCTACCTATACATACTTCGGTCACTTCTGTACATGGTGGACCCTTTTATTTAACAATAAAATCATTCAACTTCTCTAATCTTTCTACAAATGATCATTGTTAAAAATGTTTCAATTGATGACGGTAAATTCGTTAGGTGATATTTTTCAGTTAGCGTTTTTTTAGTGAGTTAGGTTTCTACGGGATGGGATCACTAACCCCATACAACCCTCCTCCTTTACCCGGGCTTGGGACCGGCAGTAACTGTGGGAGAGCTACAGGAGGAAAGAGCTAGAAAGGATCGCCCA